CGAGGATCCAGGGTCTTTTTCACTCCTTACCTTTTTTGCACGGATTTGTAGCTGTTCCTTGGGTCTAGCGGGATAAGTGCTGTATGCATTTCAAAAATACGACGTAGTTTGCAGTTTCTTTCTTTCAAGGGCCTGGTACGTAGGAAGGGCTGTTGGTGAAATCGCGATTTTTGAAGGAAAATGTGAAATCTAATTGTTGGAAAGCAGAAGGTGTATGTTAATAAGCAGTTGGGTTGGGCTTGGAGAGGATTTGTAGATATTCCTGGGGTGGTAGACGTGTTGATAGCAATAGTGAATACGAAGCCCTTTAGAATATTGAGAAAGATATGTTCCCCATCTACAGAAAAGTATTTAATTTCAATGCAATAATTATTTCATCAGTTACCAAAAACCCTCCAACACTTTTAAACTAAGCATGAAGTCTTGTTGTGAACAGAGAAAATATGAAAAAAATATGTAGATAATATTTGCTAGCAATAATTTTATATTAATTTTTTGGGCAGTTACTGTAATAAAGAATTGAGCCAAGTGATTATGTTAGAAGGTGGTGGTAACAAATTATTAGTAAGCAAATTTAAAAGACTGTTTTTTGTATATTAAGTTTGCTTGTGAATTAAAAGCCCTGTTAAAGTTTGTTTTCACAGTGTTGTCAGTTTTAGTTACAACTTTCATTTTCCTCACTGAAAGTAGTAGAACACAGAAGAGAGTTGCTTATGAAGGGTTTTTCTTTTTTTCTTTTTTCTTTTGGTTAGGATGTGCCCTCCAGAGAAAGAAACTATTTATTGTCTTCAATATTTTCTTTTTCTCTGAACAGGCTTTAGTAAAGTAGTGTGTTAGATACAGGATGAAGAGTCTGAGTCAGGGACTTCCCTCCAGAAAAGGTTTTGCTACATAAGGCTTTTTCAGATGTCACTGTATATAACTTTGGAACTTTTACACAACATGAAAATGAATTTGTAAAGCAAGATTGAGAAGTTTCCCTTGAGGCAGTGTGCATTGAACCTTCACCTAAAGGTTTTCCTCGCTGTAGCATTCTGAAGAGGATAGTTACTTCCTGATTCCAAAGACAAAGAAGTGAGCCGAGTTATTTGTCTGATATTAGCACAGAAAGCATGCAAAGCTAGGGACTGAAAACTAAAATTTGAAATAGAAATTAATGGATGTTTAAAATTCGAATCAGTGAATCATATAAAGCTAGGCACGTTTGCAATATTGTGTATATAATAGAAACTTCTCTTGGGACAAAGCTATGTGGCTGTACTTCTGATTGTTATGCGTTCTTTGACAATTCATACATTTGCATTAACTCTTATTAATGAAAGTCTGGGTGAGAACAAATAGAAAATAGCTATTTTGGGTGAATCTTTGTATAGAATTTTGATCTTAAAAAGTCTACATGTCTGAAATATTGTAGGACTTGGTCAGTATGTAATATAAGGTACACTGAACTACTGTACCACCCAGTAAAGAATACCCTTTGGAGTGAAGTTAGGGGAACTGCTAGATGGTGCTGTTTGATCTAAATACATTCATCTCCCCATTATTTACAGTTTGGTGTACTGGTCTTGTAGTGGGTTTTTCCCCCCTGAACCTGTGCAATATTTTAAAATGATAAATCAGAAACTACTCTGATGTAAGCAATTTAGAATTGGAGGGGATGCTTGAGTCTGTCAGAATAATGTAGACAGTAATGTACATTTTTGTAAAACCATTTCTATAAAGCTGTTGTTTTATTGTCATTTATACTATATTTTTGTTCAATATGTCTGTAGCATAAAGTCCCTCCCCCCTTTTTACTCTGGGGATAAAGTTCTTCAGAATTAGTGGACTTCAGAGGAAATGAAACATAATTCTAACCTTTTTTTTTTATAAATGCATAGCCTGAGTCATTTCAAACATAATTAAGGATTGAAAAATGGTAAATTCTGATAACCTTTTGTGTAAATTTTGCTAGGAAAAAATGCTGTGGCTACATGTTTTTGGAATTTAAATATTTTTTATGTAAGTATGCACAGGCTGTGTATAATGGTGGCAACTAGTCTGTTTAAGGATTACCGTCCATTTGTCTAAAGGGGTTATATTTGTTTAAGCGGATCCATGATTAAAAAGAGTGATTATACAATTTTAAGCATGTTCATGCAGAAATCAATCTCAGTTTTAATAGATCTTGGGCATACATAATTATGTTTTAGATTCTAGTATGACTGTTTAGATGTTAGAAAATTTATGTTCAAAGATAATAGAATACAGTGTATTTCTTTTTACCAGAGAGAATACATTTAGGCTAGTTCATTTTCAGTAAACTAATATTGTATACTGTAAGAGTTAAATAGACAAGGGTGGTTCTATAGTGTGAATGTGTGACCTAAGACTAAATGCTGGTGTTATAAACCTGTTGATGATGAAGACTTATGTGCTTATGGGTAAAATTGTATGTTTTAAAGGCTGAATTGGAGATGCAGTCAATTTAACTTTATGTCTAATTATTCACTCTCAGACATGTTTTGTTTGTGTGCGTGTGATGGCAATACTTAATATTCAAGGAAGTATTCAAAGCCACAATAATTGGATTTTCGGACTGAAAATGGGCTATGTATATTTGGCCACCATTTCAAATTTTCTTGCAGAATAATATGCTTTTATTTGCAAATTTTAGAAGTGTTTGTAGCATTTCACATGAGTTTTCTGATTTTACTAAGAATTCATACTAGCATTGTTCTGACAAAATAATTAACTGATTCAGTGGAGGAATTTAGTGTGTTGGAGAACACTAAAAAGGGGCCATTAACCTCAAGAGAGTTCAATTTAACCAAAAACAGATCCACAGAGTTAAAGTAACTCCTTTCTTCATGGGAACACCTGCAGAAGTTGTAAAATTAAGATAAAGTTTGCATAAATGTTATTCCCTTGTCCAGACTTCATTAGATGCAATGAACTTGTCCATTATTTCAGGGAGCAATCTGGGTGGAAATTTGATCTGATGTATCCAAAGTTGGCTAAATGAGGGCCCATTAAATCAAGGTATTGCTGTAATTTGTCTTTCACAGAAACTTTAAGATTGCTGCCAAATTTCTATGAAAATATTTTAAAAGATCTGTTACATTTTAGTAAATGCTTAGATTAGGACTTGTGTAGGAGGCCTGTGGAAAAGGCTCTGACTGCTAATCAAATAAATGAAAGTCCTGCCGCAGCAAACTTATAGTTTAAGAAATGGAGGAGCCTTGTGTCTGCATGCTCTATGCTCATGCTGCTGTTCTCCTCTTTCTATGTCACCATGCTCAGATTAGGCAAATATGTCTTCAATTAGTCATAGGTCTCTATTCAAAACCAGAAACTATCATTACTAGGATTAAAACAAGCAAATATCTTAAATTCAGGTTTGTATTTGATGTATACTTGTTCAGATTCTCGTAACTATAATTTCCTGTTTGATAGAAACAGTAGTTAAGTCAAGCTTTTTGAGGTAATTGTGGTCTTCCTAAGGAGACAATGGCAGAGAAAAGACTTATTTATTAGATGTATTTCCTATCTTTCATTCAGAAGTTCAAGGTGACATACATAGTGTTCACTGCTCCTAGTTTTACACACAACTCTGTGAGGTTGGTTGGGCTGAGAAATACTGGGTGACCCAGAGTCACCCAGTGGGCTTCTTTGGCTGATGGTGGACTAGAACCTGGGTCTCAGTGCTCCTAGTCTCATACCTTTACATTGGCCTTCTGAAGATAGATATAAAAGTCTCATAGTCAGATATACATAAAAGTGATGTGGCTTAACATTCAACCATCAGTTTTAACACTTTGGGGTTTTGAAACTTTATTTAGTTTAATTTTGTTTCTAACAGCTTTATTTTTGATGATTCTAAACAAACTATGTCAACTCTGAAAGTGCAAAAAAAGTAGATATATTTTTAAAATATAAAATTAAGTCAGAGTGCAGTGGAAATACCATTGTTCTTTAAACTGTTAAGTGAAGTGCCATGAAATGGAGACAGTATCTTGTGGAAG